TCAGATCCCTTTACTTTTTGTTGTTGTTCACTTGTTCATCTGTTTCCTCCAGCAATTATCACACTGCACATGGTTCCTAATCATTAACCTGATCCTTCTTTCTCTGATTGCTAGAGTCCCTTGACTGTACAATTACCGTTCTCACAAATAAGCTGGGAAATCCACAGGTGCTGAATGGAAAAGATGTTTGTTTAAAGGAGGAAATGTGTTCCTCCTGACACATCTTCGAGACTCTTTTTCTGCTCAAGCCCTTCTCCCCACCTTAAAACTAGGAAACAATCTATCCAATCCTGCCTTTTGTGGACAGGAAGACCAGCCCCTTCATGCCAGTTTGAGATCCTCAGAGGTTGAAATGCCAAGCTCTTTCAGGGATTCTCTGGCCTTTGCTCCTGAGCTCTTTTGATTCCTCCACCCCTAAAGGAAGAAGCTCAATTCTCTCCACAGGACTCAGTGGCTGGCTCTAGAGCCAAGGGCAAGTGGCTTGGAATTAGGAATGGAAGCCATTATTGTCCCCAAATCCACCATTGGTTTATTTTCTATTTGTTTCTTAGTAATTAGTTGGTGGTGAAAATCAATGCTATCAGTTGAAGAATTTTGGGTTTGCTTGTTTTCAGCAGCTTTGTGGTTTGTTGGCCAAATCTTTAATACAGTATTCCACTCTTGTTCAAAACATAACTACTACTTTTGGGAGACAATAGGTGATCCTGTAGATTCCCAACGAAAAGGCAAAAAGGGAAAATATGGCCAACGTTATCTATTTGCTTTTCAAATTTACTGAGTGAATATAAACATTTTGATTTAAATCATTTGTGTTGTTATTGCGGGTTGTTTGGTTTTTAATACTGGGAACACAGAGATTCAGTTTGAAAGATATCTTGAAATCTTAAGAGTAGCATACAACAATCCCCCCATTCGCCACCCAAAATCTAGTTGGTTTAAATGAGCAGAATGATCCATTTTTCCATTTTAGTGAGCAGATGTTTATGAAAAATCTTAGAACTCTTTGCTTCATTTATGGGGAAAAATTACAAGGGAAGAAGCCATTAATCAGGTTTCTACTTGTAAATATAAGAAGACTAACACTCAGGTTCATAGACTTTTAACATGAGCTTGTTGAAAGAAACGTTAACAACTCCAAAACTAAATGAATTTTAAGTTTTTTCTCCAAAAAGCATAAAAATGGAGATTTTAACAGGAAAAATTTAAAACGTAAAAACAACTCTTCCTTGGGTAGTTACTAGTCCTTGGGTAGTTATCATAACACGTTCTTCTTTTTGTTAGTTTCTTTGAAAAGGGACTTTTGGTCCCAAGTCTGTTCCTGCTTAGTATCTGCTCCGGCGTCCCCCTCTCTCCAAGCGGCCTCCTAGACGGCCTCTGCCCCTGGGCACCCTGTGGCCTGACCGGCTGTAAGAATCACGCTGAGGAGGGCAGCCCCTTTCCATGGACAGTGGGGGCCCACGATCCGGTCTGCCCACCCGGTCTCGGCACCGCGAGTAGCGGTCGCTCCGGCTGTAACTGCTGCTGTAACTGTCGCGGCCACCGCTATAGGCGTCGGGCGAGCAGCCCCGGTACTCCTCGTAGCGGCCTCCTCCTCCGTAAGATGGCGGGGTCCCCCGCCCCGGGACGGCAACGCGCAGGTCTCCGTAGCTCTCGAAGGGTTCTCGGTAGAAGCCTCCGCTCAGATCTCCGTAGTCACGGTCGCGACCCCCGTAGCCGTCTCGGTCGCCGTAGCCTCTCAAGGGACAGTCGTCCCGCACACTGGAGTGGCCGTAATTGTGGTGGCTGTACTCTCGGGGCGAGGGGGCAAAACCCCGGGGGTTGCGGTAGTCGCGGCTCGAGTAGCCGTCTCTGGACGAGTAGCCCTCCTCCCGTGGGCCCAGGTAGGGGGCGCGGCGAGGGGGCGGCAGCTCCCGGCGTGGCGGGCCTGAGTAGCCGTCTCGCCCCCGTGCGGCCGGGGCCCTCCCGCGCATTCCACCGCCGCTGCCGCTGTGAGCCAGGCCCGACAGCGCTGCCCTCTTGGGAGGTGGACCTGACCGGCGCGGGGGCAGCGGTGGCCCACGCTTCATGGGCATTGGGGCCCTGGAGGGCCGCAGGTCGAAATCCCCCGGGTAGTCGCCGTCGTCATCGGGCCCGCCCCGGGAGGGTGATCCCCTTGGGCTGCTGCCACCCCCATGGGTCCCACGCAGGAACCTCGGGCGACCGTGGCTGCGAGGGGGCGGTGGGCCCCGCCGGCTGCTCTTGAATGCCGGCTTGGTGGCCTGGGCCACCTTGATGGCCTTACCATCCAGGGTCTTGCCGTTCATGTCTCTGACGGCGGCCTTGGCGTCTGCGGGGCTTTCGAAGGTGACGAACGCAAAGCCCCTGGACTTGTTGGTTTCTCGGTCTTTCATCAGGAGCACCTCGACGATGCGGCCATACTTGCCAAACTCAGCCTCGAGGGCTTTCTCATCGGTTTCGAGGTTGAGGCCCCCAATAAACAGCTTTCCTGGGCGATCCGCTTCAACCATGACTGTGAGTCGAACGGTTGCTCAGTGGTGGCAGGAGGCAACGAGGTGGCGCCAGTCGCAGCCTTCGTGCACGATCGTTGAGGGTGGCTCCTACCGGTCGGGCGGCGCGTAGTAGCCGAGTCTCCGGAACCTCAGCCCCAGCCCGGCTGCCGCGCGCGCCCCTCCTGCCTGTGATTGGTCGGCTGGGCAGGTTCGCTGTCGGGAAGGTTGGCAGTTTTGTGTCTCCCTTTAGTCTTTAACTTCCTGTTCACCTGACCCGGGCTTAACGGCTTTAATGGCTTTCTGAAAGCTCTGTGGCTCAAGGAAAAGCCGTTAGGTGGAAAAAAACTTTCTCTATTACTTTTTATGAAAAGAATGATAATGATCCCAACCTAAGTTACCCAAACTATTTTTAAACAGAAAAAGAAAGTATGAAATTTTTAAATTACTACAGTTAAATTAAAAAATCATTTTTCAATTATTGAAAAATAGAGTAACAATTTACAAGTTTAAAAATGAAGTTTGTACATAAAATTAATATAAAATTTTGTGCACTTGCTAAAGGGGAAGAGAAGACTATAGTGGGAGTTGGTTGGTGGAGGCCAAAGGAGAGAGTCTTTTTGGATGCACCATTTTTTTCTCTTCTGCTCCCTTTTCTTCAGTTTTTCAACCCTCAACATATTGTATACAAACTGCCCTTTTAAAAAAGGATACAGCACAGAAAGTCACCATTAGGCAAAACATGAGAGTATTTGGACAGTCATCATAGTAGCCCCTGGGCAAGCATAACAAGCAAGGCTTTACTCCTTCACCCCAGCGAGCTTTCTTGGAAAGAAGTAGTACACTTCGGCATAGCACAACTTTCTGGGTTCATTCAAGCAAATTACATAATTTAAGTTTGTTCCATACGATATTCTCTGAATAGAAGCATGAAAAGTAAATTGATGAGCTTATCTTTGCTTGAAATAGTAATATCTAAAACCCATTTTTCTTTACTGTATTGATTTAATGTGGTTAGGGGCTATTTATTCGAAAATGGTATACATTTTTCAAAGGCTGTTATGATGAAAAATTAACGCAGTCATGAAAAGTCTATATACACATATATATTATATTGGTTTATTGCAGTAGGTGTGTAATTTGAAAGAATTTGTGAAGGCAGGTATTTTTATGATATTTCTTACTTTAGTGGGAACAATTTTAAGGTTTTAGAATTTTTTTTAGCATGCTGGAATGGAAGTTAAATGCATCACATTCGTTCATGTGATAAAATATAGTAACAGATTTTTATTGTTAAAATATTGCATTTCCAAGGAATTGTATTCATTTTCTAAAAATTGATAAATTTTGTTTGCTCATGCTTTATTTAGAAACACCATCTGGGCTTGTGTTTTAAGTATATTTTAACTAACTAGAGATTCAATTTCTTTTAGTTTTGAGTCTATCCAGATTTTTAAGAATTTTCTCAACTTTTTTTCAAGATATACATTCATAAGAACGTGTTTACTTTTGTTTGAATTTTTGAATTTATCTATAGCTGTGCCTTGTTTTGTTTTCTCTTTTTTGTGACTAGTCTTGCTAGAAGTTTTCTTTTTTCTTTATCTTACTAATCTTTTTAAAATAATTTTATTTGGTGCTATTGTCTTTATTTTCTTCTTTCTACATTTATTGGATTTGTAGTTTAAATCATTTTTTTCTAATTTTTTACATAAGGCACTTAGCACAAATGTTTAAAAAATGTTTCTTCTAATTGTTATATTTAAGTTTCAAATTTATTCTCTATGTACTTGTTAATATCATGCCTTGAGCTGTAATACTTGTTGTTTTCATTGTTGTTCAGTTCCTAAGATTTTCTTATTTTTATTATTTCTTTTTAGGCTCATAAATTATAAAGAAGTATGTTTGTAAATTTTCAAACATATGTACCTTTTGGTTATTTTTTAATATGCCCTGTATGAGATCCTTTGTTTTTCGCTGAGATTTGCTTTGTCACCTAAATATGGTGTAATTACTGTTCCATATATACTGAGCAAAACTGTTTTCTCTAAATGTTGGATGAAGTTCTTTCTTATTTTTTAATATTTAAATCTTCCCCTCTCAAACTTATTTTTTATTTGATAGAATTGGCAAACACTAGAATGCTCTTAAAATTTCCCATAATTGTGGATTTGTAAATTTCTCTTTGTGTTTATGTCTGGATTTTGCTTCACATAATTTAAGGTAATATGGTGAGATATATAAAAAATGAGAATTGCTATGTATTTCTGGTAAATACATTTTTTATGTAATGATCCTCATTATTCATAAAAACCTTTTACCTTAGTCTGTTTTGTGTGATGCTTATATCTTTCAGTGCTTTTGCAATTTCTTCCTAAATCTTTGCTATCAACCATGCCTTTCTTTCTTTTTTCATCCTTCTTACCTTTTTCTGTAGTAATTTTTCTTTGTTTCTCTTTCCTCTACTATGAAGAAGTTATGTCTTCTATTTGTATTTTTTGAATGACTGCCCTTAATGTTTTTATTGAATGCTAACTTAAAAATGCTAAGTTTATAAATTTACTTATAAAATCAAGTTTACTGCTTAATTTTTACATCTGTGTATATCCATGTAACCATGATATACATCAAAATCTATAACATTTCTATCATTCCAGAGGGTTCAGTTGTGCCATTTATTAATCAAACCTAACTGAGATCTGCTCTCTGGGCACAATAAGACCAGATATGCACACTGAGGTTTGCAGCAGGAAGAAGGAGGGTATTTATTTGCAGAGCTCCAAGCAAGAAAGACCAGGCACCTACTCTTAAATTCTGACCTCTTAATCGCTTTCAGGTAAAGGTTTTTTAAAGGAAAATGTAAATTTCAAGAAAGCAAAAGTTACAGGCAAAATCATAAATCAATGCATGGAGGCTACACATTGGTATTGGCCCAAAAGGGAGAAATCTCTTGAAGTTGGGGGTCTCCCAGGTCAGAGGTAGATTCAAAGATTTTCTGATTTGCAGTTGGTGAAGGAACAGAATTTGCAGTCAGCAAAAAAGAATGAGCTTTGGCTCCTGAGTGGGACTCCCTCCAGGCCCCTCAGGAAGAAATTTACAGCAAAGAAGGGTTGTCAGAGTTTAGTCCCCAGTCCCTCTTATCTGCGGTCTACCTAGCCATGGAATTTTTTGGAGGGATCTGGGTTTCTGAAAGACAACTCAGGGACATATATTAAGATGTTATATTTAGCATCTATAGGGGAACAAAAAAATCTCATTACTCTAACTTCCATAGTTATTGTTTTAAGTTACTTTTAAGTAACTTAAAAGTTACTTAAAAAACCAAAATTGTTTTAAGTTATTGTTTTAAGAAGCTATTACTTTCTTACTTATCAAGTTCCTTATTCATTTAAGAAATTTGATGTAGTTCCTTAACTTCATTCCTCAGGTCTAGCTAGATGCATGGAATTTCTCTTACAAGAACTCCATATTTTCCTTTATTTCCATATTTGTAGGAGAGGGGTTCCACAGGCCCCTAAAACAGGGTCTCTGTTCTTCAAAAAATGATATAGAATCAAGATCAAAATTTGAGCAAAAATTGGAATGCTTGCAGAGGCTTTATGTGAAATGACTGTGTCTCTTTTACCTGAAGATATTTTGAATGTATTTTGGGAATGGATATTTTGTCTGACTGGGGAATGTTTCCCTACCTAGTACTATAAAACACAAGGTATATAAATTCCACCTTTAAGCAATAGTACTTATATTTGCTAAACAGAAAGGAATAAGTTTGTCCAAGCCCACACAGCGTAGAATAAAACTTGAAGTACTAGAAAGGACAAATTATCTGTTCAATGGACCTGTGCAGAGGGTAGATTGGGGCTTGTGGCAAAAGCCTGGGGGGCCTCCCAGCAACAACTACAGGGACTCTGAAGTGGAGAATTTACATCTGAGGCAATTACTAGCTCAATCTTGGACATTACTGAACCCACCACATGACTGAAGAAAATGTAATAATCTTATTATCTTACATCAATTAGGATAGTTATTGTCAAAAGCACAAAAAGAGTAAGTGTTGGTGATGATGTGGAGAAATTGGAACCCCTGTGTACTGGTGATGGGAATATAAAATGGTATAGCCACTACTAAAAACAGTATGACAGTTCTTAAAAAATTAGGAATAGAATTATCATAGGATTCAACAACCCTACTTATAGATATTTAACCAAAAGATTTGAAAGCAGGTCCTTAGATATTTGTATACCCACACTCTTAGCAACAGTATTCGCAATATCCAAAAAGTGGGAATAATGCAAGTGTCCATTGACAGATAATTTAAAAATGTAGTATAGTCAGCCCTCCATATCGGTGGGTTTCACATTCATGGATTCAGCCACCTGAGGATCAAAAATATTTGACAAAACATTGTGTATGTACTGAACATGTACAGACTTCATTTCCTTGTCACTATAAACAATGACCAATACCTCATAAAAACTATAAACAATACCATATAAAAACTATACATTATAAAAAACTATTTCCATAAACAATACCTTATAAAAACTATTTCTGTAGCATCCACATTGTATCAGGTACTATCAGTAGTCTAAAGATGATTTAAAGCATATGGGGAGATATGTACGGGTTACATGCAAATACTACATCATTTAAATCAGAGACTTAGCATCCTGGTATTCTTGGTGGTCCTGGAACCAATTCATCATAAGTACTAAGAAACTGTTCTATATATATACAATGAAATATTATTTAGCTTTAAGGAAGGAAATTCTGACATAGACTACAACATGGATGAACCTTAAGGACATTATGCTAAGTGAAGTAAATCAGTCACAAAAAGACAAATACTGTATGATTTTACTTATATGAAGTATCTAGTTAAACTCATAGAAATGGAAAGTAGAACATCATTGCCAGGGACTAGAGGGAGGGGAAAATGAAGAGCTGCTGTTTAATGAGTATAGAGTTTCAGTTTTGCAAGATGAAAAAGTTCTGGGGATTGGTTGCACAACAATATGAAAACACTTAACACTATTAAACTGGTTAAGATGGTGAACACAATGCTTTATGTATTTTACCACAGTAAATACGAATATACTTAACACTACCAAACTGATTAAGATGGTGAACACAATGTTATGTGTATTTTACCATAGATTAAATTTTATTTAAATATAGGGTTTTTCCCACACCAACCAATTCTCCAGCTCCTAGACACCAACAGGGTATCCTATAATTCAATTTTGACCCTAACTACCTGAATTATTGCAGACCTCAAAGGGCTTATTTACACAAGATTAACTCCAACTTCAGACACCAGTCACAAGAAGTAGGTCCCCAGATCATCCACACTTCTTATCTGTCTTGGCTACAAATTGGGGATTCCCACAACCCTCTCCTTGGATCAGTTTGCTATGATGTACACAGAAATCTGGAAAACACATTTCCAGTTTATTATAAAGATTATGATAAAAGATACAGATAAACAACAGATGAAGATGTACATAAGTCAAGGTCTGGAAGGGTCCAGAGTGTAGGCACTTCTGACCCATGAAGTTGAAGCATGCCACCCTTCTGGCAAGTGAATGTGTTCACCAACCTGAAAGCTCTCAGAAGCCAGTGTTTTTTATGGAGGCTTTGTGACATAGACACAATTGATTAAGTCAATCTCTAGCCAATTTCCCTTCCCTGGAAGATGGGGTGTGGGGCTGAAAATTCTCCACCTCTAATTATGGCTTGGTATTTCTGGTGACCAGCCACCATCCCAAAGCTATCCAGGAGCCTGCCGAGACTCACATCATTAAAACAAAGGGTATGGGTATCACCCAAGAAGTTCCAAAGGTATTAGGATCTTTGTGTCAGTAACTGGGAGCAGAACCCAAACATATATTTCTTATGTCAAAATAGGAATACACTACTAAGGAAGCAGGTAGACTCTTACCCAGGACTAACTTTGGAATATTGTGAGGAGATGCCAGATTCTTTTATTTAGATAGCATCCTGTGAATAGTTCTCAAATGACCAGCAGAGAGTTGTCTGGTTTATAGATAACAGTTTCAAGGTGAATGGACAGCATCCTATTTGGAAGGCCATCTCTATGTTAGAGGAAGATAAAAATAAACCAGTTTGATGGGCAACATTATGTGCTATTTTCTTTATAGTGATGGAAGAATTGAACACGGATAAAATCCCCTGCTTGAGTTTTTACAACCTTGTGGATGGTGACCAATGGCTTGACCATATGGCCAGACAGAGAGAAATGGAAAAGTGCCTATTAAAGACATACCCTTTAAATCGTGGTGATAGGAAAATCACCAAGGGAATCAGGAGGAGTAAGTTGGTACTCCATTAAGGTATGTTGATATCTAACAGAAGAATCCACTTGTAGGTTCAGCAGGTGACAGGAATTGACTAGTAGATATTCCAGTTTGCTTGCTTGAAGTGGCTGCCTGGGTCCATGAAATGAATGGACTTTGGGGGCCTGCAGCAGTGTCGAGATGAATTAACTCTAGACATATTCCTGTTGCACCTCTCAAGAAAAAATGAACCACTAAAAATGGTTTATTCTTCCAAAAATAAGAGACAGACACTGCAGATGGCAGTGTTGGAGTCACTGGGAGAAGACCCTGAACACAGCTGGTAGATGGGACTGAAGTTGGCTATGAGTGGGTTTTGACAGGAACAGAAACTGGACTTGGCTTTGCTTACCCAGTGATAGATGCAAATGTTCAGAGAACTGTCCAAGAATCAGAATAAAAGAGACTGCATCAATTTGGACTACCAAGTAACATTTCTTCAGACTGAGGAACACCTTTCACAACCTATAATTTCAACAATGAGCAGAGAGCTATTTTCCTCAGAGTAATATAATAATTCAATAGAGAGCCGGAATGGGCATTTGAAACATTAGTTGCTTAAAATGGGAGAATATAAAAGCATGCAGAGCTGGCTTGCATGCCTTCACAAATGTGTGTTCATACTCAACAACAAGGAGATGGTGAGAGAGTGTCCCCACTGGACAGATTCCTGGTTTTCTGGTAGATCAGCAGGATGGGGAGTCAGAGAAGATACTGGTATGACTATGCATTTTTTTCCCACAGAGAAGATGACTGATGACTCTACTGTCTTCTTTCTTTCCCATGTCATCTCAATTTTGCTTTTCCTACTTCATGGTGACAGGCTTAAGGCTGCAACTGCAAATGCTGGAGGCAGTGATGATTCCTAAACAAGAAAGTATAGCTATATTCTAAACTTTATGTCAGAAATCCTACAGGCCTGATGGAGCAGATTGTGCCTTCACTTCATCTAGAAATCTTAGGATTGACTGTGAACGCAGTTATATTGTCTAATGGTAAAAATAGCCCATTTCTATAACTATGTAACACTACCTATATGAATAGCAGTGGACTGATGGGGAGTTACTAACTAGATTAGTATTGCTGCCAGCAATTAGACCAGCACAGTGGTTGAACCTAATGTCCCTTCCAAAGGTGGAAAAGTTTGTATAAATGAAGAGAAGGAGAAAAGGTAGATGAGGATAAAGAAACAAAAAATGGGTTCTGGAATGAGGGAAACTCAATAGTACTTTAACACCTTGAAGGATGTTCAGAGCAAAAGATGTTATTTTCTTTTTCTCAGTTATATCTGATGCCTCAAAGGGTGAAACCATCTATTGCTGATACCACTCCTGCTATTGGAACTAGGTGGGATCAAATGGAAGCCTGCAAACTGGAGCGGCCTCATCCCAGGAGACATTTTCATGCAATATGATAAAAGACTGAACTAATTGTTAAGGACTGAATGGGGCTCTAGCAAAGTACCAGCATTTTTTGACGTTTTATTTTTCAAGTTACAGCTACCATAATGTAATCAGGTCCTACACTTGCATTGTTGGTAAAAATTACAATGCCAATATCTATAGTCAAATGAATTGGAAAAATGAGTTAAAAGCCTCCTATTCCTATACCACACTCCTTACTCAAAATGTTGCTCAGACAGGTGATCCTTTTACTAAAAGGAATCCATGGTCAAAGACCAAGGGGTAACCTGTGATGTAACAAAAATACGTATATATTTGGTCCTTGTCCTGGTTGCTGGTACAGAGCTTCTAAAACCCTTGGAGATTCTTGAGTGGTAGGACTGTCTTTTGTTATCTATAAAGAGACCCTTTTACCATACCTGAGTTTATGCTAATGAGGTGATTCATAGTGGGGCCCTAGATAACTTTAGAATGGGGGCTGCTCACCAGAGAAACCAACTCTGTGAATGAAGGGTTAGAACTTTAGCCCTACCTCCCACCCTGACTTCCAGAGAGAGGAGAGGCACTAGAGGTTGTATTTAATCACTGATGGACAATCATTAATCAGTCAGATCTATATGATGAGATTTCACATTAAAAACTCCAAGCAGTGGGGTTTAGGGAATTTTTAGGTTGATGAACACATGGATGTGCTGGGAGGGTGGCATGCCACAGAGGGCATGGAAACTTGTACACCTTTCCCCCTTCCTTGCCTTATGTACCTCTTCAATTGGCTGTTCCCTTCTATCCTTTATAATAAAGTGTAATCACAAGTATACAGAGCACCCTTGACCTAACTAACTCCGTCTTAGAAAAAGACTCCACTTGATATTTCACAGGATACTTTGGCAATAAGAATAAGATGTTTTGTTTAATACAAATTAAAGAAATAAAGACTGCATACAACCACATAAATACACAAACAAGCACTCTTCTACTATCTTTTCTCATCAGAGGACTCTGTGACTATAAAAGATTAGGCCTTCAGCAGCTCAAAATGGCCAACTTAGATGATACCATCTTGGAGTCAAAAACTCTTCCTTGCAAGACCAACAGACCACCCAGACCACTTGGCCCGGATCAGGACTCTGTCTTCTTCACTTTCCCTGGACTGGTTCATTAACCCTTTCTCCTATCTGACAAAGCAGGAGCATCATTATCTTGGACAAGCCCCTCATTCTAAAGTTCACCTAATAAAAAACCACCTAAATCCATAGGGCATCAGCCTAATGGCTAAGGTCAGAATGACCATAAACCACAAATAACATCTCCGACCAGATACATTCCAAACTCCTCCTCGACCAAAGACATGCTATCTATCCCCTAGATAATCTCCCTCTGGCCAAGTAGATGCCAGCCTCAAGATAACCACCCCCCAGGTCAAAAAGATGTCTGCCCCAACCAAGATAACCTCCTCTCCTCCTGGGAGATTCCAACTCCACCATAAACTTCTCCACACACATAAGCATTCCAAGCTTATTATAAGCCCTTTCACCCTAAAACCAATATATACTTTTAGCCTGTAAGAGAAAGTACTTCTGACCACAATCAGCCAGCAGTGCCTCTCAGGTTTTAACTAAAGAAAACCTGTCTTTGACTGCCAAGCCATGTTTTATGTTTCTTTCCTCCTTAACTCTTATATTTGGTGCCAAAACCCGGGACAGGTGCTGGGGGCAAAGGCTCTCCTGTAACCCAGAAAGCAGTGGCAGCTCATCCTGAGTTAATTTCTGAATCCTAAGGGTCTCTGGCCACCTGCCTCATCTTTTCTCTCACTTCACTTTTCCCTCATCCTTCCTTTTTTCCCTCTCTCTCTTCCTTGTGCAGCTGCAGTCCAAAAGGTCCTTTCCAATTCCAACCAGAACATCCATTGGACACGAATCCAGCTGACTGGTAAGATCTACTCACCCCCTTCTTTCCCCTCTGGCTTTCTCATGGTACCCAGGAAAAGTCAGGTGAGCAGTCTCAGTCCTCAGAGGACCAGGGGGACTAAGATAGAGGAAATCTTGGGGATGTCCAGTTTCTTCTCAGCTTGACCATCTTCTTTAGAAAGAGGATTCTGGATCTTTGTCTTCTGTCTGGGGACACCTAGAACAGAAAAAGACACCCTTGGCTTCTTCTCACCAGTCCACATGGGTGCCAAACAATTCCCACATTCGTAAGCCCTCTCCACTGTGCTGTCTCCTTCACAAACTCACCAAACCTGGCTTAAGCATTTAGTCATTTACTGTAAGGGTCCTGGCCCCAATACACATTAGATAATGACAGCTGATGGCCTGAAAATAGCCTCTTTGACTTGCAAGTTCTCAGGAACCTTAACAACTTTATAACCAGGAAAGGTAAATGGCAAGATGTTCTCCATATTCAGGCTTTCTTCTATTTCTACCTTAAATCCCAACCCTCCCTGTAAAAACTTACACCTCTGATAAAATCTGTCTTCTTAATAAAAGCCCTCCTTGTGTCTCTCCTTCCTCTGAAACTCCTTTTGACCCTGCAGATGAACCCTCTCTGTATTCTTATCCCTCTTCATCTGCTCCTTGCCCACAAACCCTCTGCCCTAGTTGCCCCTCCTGCCTCTATGCCCTTAGCCCCAAACACCACTCCTCCTCCTTCTCCACCTGTTACCCATTCAAAACCACCTCTGCCATTCTCCCTCTCTGGGAAGTGGCTGTGGTTAAAGACATTGCTCAGGTTAATGTCCCTTTCTCCATGTCTGATTTGTCATAAATCAAAGCTATAAGCATATTAAAAAGGCCTTTATATTTTTCTCTTCATCAATCTTGTTTTCCTGGAAAAGATTTTTTTCAGTTAACTTAATTACTTTTCTCCACTCTGTCTTGGCACTCTTTGTGCATGTATAAAAAATCAACCCTAAAATAACTTCTGGTGGCCTGGGACTCCCTGGGAAAACAGAAAAGACACCACAAATCCTGTCTTGAGAAAAATCTATCATTCTTAGGGAACCCCTAGAATTAGAAGTAAATAAGTACCTCTCCAGATCTTTGTATTCCAGCTATACTTGTTTATTAGGCCCTAGAAACTGTTTTCCTAGCTCTGTTCTTAAAGGGCCTCACCTGAAGGCCAATAATCCAATTGGGAAATTAGCAGGAAAAAAAATCTTGCACTGCTGAAACTTATTCTGGTTGTCTCTGTGGCTATGTAATTGTTATGAGTGCCATATCTATTAAAAGAGGTCTACTTAATTGGTCTAAGTTACTTTTCAGCAAGTAAATCAAATATTTTTAAGGAAAAAGTAAAAGCTGTGGAACCTTCCTGTTCACGTGGCTTTAAATTTATGGGTACAGTAAGATTAGAAATGTCTTAACAGTTGCCAGCATGCATTTTTGTTCGCATTTTTTTTTTTTTTTTTTTTTGAGATGGAGTTTCGCTCTTGTTACCCAGGCTGGAGTGCAATGGCGCAATCTCGGCTCACCGCAACCTCCACCTCCTGGGTTCAGGCAATTCTCCTGCCTCAGCCTCCCAAGTAGCTGTGATTACAGGCATGCACTACCATGCCCAGCTAATTTTTTGTATTTTTAGTAGAGACGGGGTTTCACCATGTTCACCAGGATGGTCTCGATCTCTTGACCTCGTGATCCACCCGCCTCAGCCTCCCAAATTGCTGGGATTACAGGCTTGAGCCACCGCGCCCGACCTATTTTTTTGTATTTTTAGTAGAGACGGGGTTTCACCACGTTGACCTGGATGGTCTCAATCTCTTGACCTTGTGATCCACCCGCCTCAGCCTCCCAAAGTGCTGAGATTACAGGAGGGAGCCACCGCGCCTGGCCTCGCATTTCCTAATCAAGCAATTTCATACTTACCTCTGCCAAACAGTATCAGGAGTCAAAATTTGGCATAGAGGCCACAAAACTATAACACAGCCCAAACAAAATAATATTTGCTTGTGTAATTTTTTAATAAATGAAGCATTAAGATTGATTTAATGAAGATAGCTACATCTTAAACTATTTAGTAAATGATCCTAACTTCTAATCTTGTGTTCTTAGGCAGTCTGGTCCACAGACATGAAGGAAGTTTGTTTTTGGAAAGAACTGTTATCTTTAATATTAAAGAAAAGGAAATTTATATAAAAAGAATCTTATGTGGTAAAGTCTTATCCTAAAGTAAATTAACTGGTTGTTTAAAGAAAGGGATGTTTACAGCAATTTAAATAGTTAAGGCATGTCAGAAATTGTCTGTGAAAGTCATGAAAAATTTTATAAAAGGGAATTTATGCAATAAAGATTGTATAGTTTAAAAGTGATTAGGCCTCCTGAATACTTCATAAAATGTCACTATAACTCTTACTCTTAGCCGTGCAACTTGCCTGATTTGCAGCTAAGTAAAACGTAAGGCACATGGAGTTAAATGTTGGAATAAACCAGACCTTATCTGCACTTCTGTCTAGGTCCTAGGATCTACACCTAGCACATAATTAAAATCCCAAACTTACCAAGGTTTTCAACAAAGGTAAAGGTTGCTAAAAGTTAACAGTGTAACATGTATTTAAAACTATTGAAGAAACAGTTATGTGCAAGGTGTATAAGGAAAGTAAAATATATTTTTGGTAAAAAGATTATAAGAAGGCATAAGAATGTGTAGTTTTACCTAGATTAGATGGTTAAGGAATTGTTTTAAAGGTTTAAGCAAGTTTTCAAAGGTTAATTGTAAAGGAAATTCTGTGTTTAAACATATTGGCTAAAGTTTAAGGGGTATCATCCTGTTTTCCTATAAATTGAGCATTAAAGTAAAAGCACAATGAGTTTTTCTTAAAGCACTAACTTGTTCTTTAACAAAAAGTATAAAGGGTTGAAAACAGTCTATAAAAATCTTACCTTACGGTCAGACATTAAAATTGGATAAATATGCCCACAAGGTTTTATTAAAATTGAGTTTAACATTAATATCACACTAATATAAAGTTTGGCTTAATTGGTATAAAATCATACAGGAAGCATTGTCAAATATAAAATGGTGTTTGGCTTTCTTTGGGCTATATTTATATAAAGATGTTATTCGCATGTGTCCCAAAGTTATGGGGGACTCCTATAATCCTAATATATTTCAGTGTACGTTATCAGTAATAACTATAATCATTAGGTTAAAATTATTGTTTGCCACAGAGGTAATAGACATCCTTGTCAATTGTGTCTTTAACTATGGTTATGCTAAAACTTTTTGTCATCCACAGACAAATGTCTTGTTTTGGTCCTCTTTAAAAGGTGGTTTTATAATTAGCTCTAAAGTCCTAACAAGTGCTCTTAAACGCAGGTTTCTGATAACTTTAGACATTGCATCATCAGAATAGAGGAAAAATGTTCAGGACTTTTGAAAAGCTAAAATGTTAATATGAAGCAGGGTAGGAATTAACTGCATCAACTAAATTAATAGGAGACTGGAATAATCTTTGTAATATTTTGCTTAAAATATTGCTAATCCTTTGTTTTGCTTTTTAAAGTCAAAGAAACTTCTCTTTTGAGCTACTGACAGCTTTTAACAATTTAGTATACTCCCATGAACAAAATTTGGAACATACTTATTTCTCTCTGATTTTCTCCAGAATTTGAAAACCATCTGTAAGTATCATTAAGTTATGGCAATATAGTTATTTGCATAAGTGCAATAAGAATCTGTTTTCTTTTGTAAGAGGAACACAATTGGAGAAACTGGTTATTTTACCAAGGCCTTGATGGAATGGTGTGCTTTCCTTTAAGGAATCAAACTTGACTTATGGAGCACTTGGAAAACTGGCCTCATATTTTGTGTGCACAGTCCCTGTACAGGGATTCTGATCTTCAGGAAGCAAAGAATGTCACTTCTAGCTGGCTGGGAACCCGAATTATCTTGGGGCTTCAAGAGGAGTGGAATTCACCAACTCATAGGTATTTGATGACACAAATCCATGGCTGGGCTCAGCTTTAAATAAGTATCATCTTAGATTCCTTCTATAAAACAAAGTTCCGTCAAAGCCAACTTAAAAGGTCTGTGTAACAAATAATTATTCTTGCTGCACTGTATGCAAATAATTAAGCTGAGTATAATAAAGTACACCAGTCCTACCATAATTTGTCTTTTAATAAAGATGGAAAACTGGAGAGAGAAAATTATGTTTCAAAAAGTATAGCACTGCCTGTTGTTAAACTCTAGTGTTGCCTAATGTTTTTCTATTTTTATTATTTTCTACTGCTTAAATTAAATTCTATTTTTTCTGGCTACAAGTTTCCAAAATAAGCTGTGCTTTCCTGAAGGCCTATAAACAGAAAATTAGATATTTCAGCAGGCACTGCCTCTAAGTCCCCCGACTATCACAGGAAAAAAATCTCTTTGCTGCTGCTGCTGACAACTAATAACTGAGGGTACCTGGAATCCTTTGTCCCATGTCTAGTAAGTCCACAGAACCCAGGGTAATTAAGATGGTATGTGTTGCAGGAATCAACTCCTAAATACATCACACTCAAGTCAAATCCTTAAAAACTAAGGCACCAACCCCTGATTGCTCCCCAAAAAGGCCTAAATATCAATGTAAATAAATAGAAAATACTAAGCTGAAAATCATAAAAGATAAGTAACTAAGTGAGAACTACTCATCTTAGTCTCACCCCTACCTCACCAAATTCTTTTGTCATTCCTACCTCTTCTTTCAAGCCAAATATTTAAACTTTTTCATGGAAATTATTTATTACACCACACTTGTGGGAATTGCTTTACTTACTCTACTGTTTGCAATAGGACTATATACTGCAGCACCCTTAGGGTGGAATATCAGACAGAAAATCTCAGTTACTGTAGTATCTTGCTTAATTATTACCCTCATAGCAGGAATAATGGTTACTAACAGAAAGTAACAAACACAATGGCCTTTCTAAACAGGTGCCTCTGCCTCTCATTAGGTAAAAAAATGTTGTTTCTATATCAAGAAATCAGGCCTAGGAAAAACATTGCTAAAAAACTTAAAGAAAGACCTAAAAAGCTAAGGGAGTACCAAAACAACCAAATAAATTTTTGGTTTGGGAACAAAACCATAGCATGGGTTGTTAGATATAAAAAGAGTTCCTCATCAAAGGGTTAACTTGCTCAGAGTCCTTGTTCTTTGATCCCTGCTTTCAAGGCCAGACTTCCTTACTCTTTGCATCCCCCACCCTGGTAAACAAACTTCCCACCAGTCTTGACCTATAGAGACCACATTCCACATCTGCTACCCACTCTATAGATTACCCCTCCTGTGACAATGACTATTCCCGTTGAAACTGCGCTCTCAGCTGGTGTAACCACACTCTTATCCTTTTCAAGTTAGCAAACTGGGTTCAGCTTAGGTTGTGCAGTCCATCTTCAGCCAATGGAGGCAGGACATAGTAGCAAGGATGAGCTGCATTACAAATAAAAACTCCTTCCCTCCTTTGTTCAATGTTCTCTCACCATCACTCCATCATGAGTAGTTCCC